CATGGGATTGAATTTTTGTCTTTCCAAAAGGCTCTACAAGCCTTGAAAATGTACAGATTTTGCAGGCTAGGCATGCTGTCTTTCAATAAGCCTTGAGAAGTGAAAAATAGGCATTTGCCTCAAGAATACTAACCTATGAAAATTCTTTCCCATACCTAGCTAGAATGTAACTTTATGGTTTTCACTGTAAAAATACCACAGGAACTGGAATTCAGATGCCATTCACCTGCACATCAGGGAAAAGGTTTTTTTTTCTTTTTTAGGATTTTGTATGATAAGACATAGCTATGTGGCAGATTGCTGATCCAGTATACTTAAGTTCCAAGGTTTTATATCTGACAGGTTTAATTAAATGGAGAGCTCTTTCACACTACACAATTATAGCTTCATGATTCCTCTTTAACTGCTGTGACTGATTACACCCAGTAGAATCCTGGAGTTTGTATTTTGATGAGGTACCAAATTCTCTGGCTGGAAATTCTAAATATTCCTCCCTAAACTTCAGATCCCAGGATTCCATGGAATGTTGCCATGGCAATTAAAGTGGAATGATAGTGCTATGATTGTGTAATGTGGAAGCACCCAGAGATTCCCAGAACTGGAATAGATCTTGGCCAGAGAATGTTAAAATTAAATCTTCTTCTTCTTCCTCTTCTTCTTCTTCTTCTTCTTCTTCTTCTTCTTCTTCTTCTTCTCCTTCTCCTCCTCCTCCTCCTCCTCCTCCTCCTCCTCCTCCTCCTCCTCCTCCTTCATTTGTTCAGTCACTTCTGACTCTTCATGACCTCATGGACCAGCCCATGCCAGAGCTCCCTGTTAACTGCCACCACCCCTAGATGCTTCAGAGTCAAGCCAGTCATTTCAAGGATACCATCCATCCATCTTGCCCTTGGTTGGCCCCTCTTCCTTTTTCCTTCCATTTTCCCAAGTATCATTGTCTTCTCAAAACCTTCCTGTCTTCTCATTATGTAGTCAAAGTACTTCATCTTTGCCTCTAATATCCTTCCCTCCAATGAGCAGTCGGGCTTTATTTCCTAAAGTATGGACTGGTTGGATCTTTTTGCAGTCCAAGGCACTCTCAGAATCTTATTACTCTATTTAAAACTAGGTGCCTACTCCACGCACACACACACATTGAACTAGCAATTCGTATTGAAAAGGTATTTTTGAAACACAAAATATGCAGAACAAGACATTCTGCATGGGAAAAGATGGCACAGAGATCTGCCATAAATTTCCAGGTTGATTGCTGAGCTGCCATGAGAGCCAGGAATGTTGAACAGCTCTGAGACCAAGATAGATTGCAATGCAACTTCTGTGACAGGAGGGTAACCTGTCAATTTGGCTGGAATGACAACCTCACAAAGACTCAGGCTGTCACCTGGGGAGTGATGGACACTAATGGTTAGGGATGCCAAAGTCAGGATGCAGACTAGACAAGGCATTATGAAACAGAAAGCAGAGCAAAGGTTTGATGGAACATGACATTAAAGGGTAAATAAAAACCTGGAGAAGAAAGATGACATTTTTCTTATCAAGACAGGCATGAATAGCTGGGATTCCTTAGCTTGAGGAAGATGACTGATCAGTCATGAATGATGTGGAAAGAATAAATAGAGAAAAACTTTAATTGTGATTGTCTGGATTTTAATTGCATTTGTTTATTTTATGGACATATATGTGTATGGCATTGAATTGTTGCCTGTTGTAAGGCCGCTATGAGTCCACTTCATGGTGAGAAGGGCAGGGTAAAATGCGTTAAATAAATAGTCATCTAATACAACAAACTGGGTGTGATAACACCTTAAGGAAAACTAATAAACATAAAGAGATCATACAGCTTACAGTTAGAGTTTATGCTTCATGACAATAGGATGTGATGCTGGCCATAAACATGCTCAGATTGCTCTTCCTCAGTTCACATACTGATTAGACTTTCCTTATTCAGAATCATTCTACCTCTCACTAGCAGACTCTGGGGAAAAATGAGGGGAAATTGCTGTCATATCTAACTCTTGCTTCCCTGCTGCATTTGGCTGACCTCTGTTGGAAATGTATTTCCAGTTGGATAGACCTTTGGCCTGACTTAGCCCATCAACGCTTGCTTTCTCATCAGTTCTCAAACGATGGACATGAACCTTTTTTGCAACATTAGAGTTCATCTCTCTATCCCCCGAGATGAATTTTCCACACCTTCATTTGAAAAATATGTGCTGACTTTATTTTTTCAGTCCTCGGATATGGAAGATAGTTTTAATTTTCGCACCTAGAAATTGTCATCAGTAAATACAGCCTGAACAGTTTCTGCAATACAGTATAGCTAGATATCATTGCACTAAACTCAGTCTTAGAACACATGGGACATACAGCTGTGAAGTGTGGGGAGTTTAGAATAAGAGTGGGGATGGGATGCTGAACTTCTCCCTGCTTCCCTATGTTTCTCCCGTCTATTTTTACCTCTAAGGCTGTCTCCAAACCAGCAGCGAATATGAAAAAATCAAGGCTGGAAGGAAGCTTTTTTTGGGAGGGGGGGGGGGGAGGCTGAGTGAAGAAAAGGTTAAAATGATTTTTAATTCATCCTCTTTTTATAGTCACACAGAATGACTGAGATCCTTGGCACATCTGGCTAATTAGGAAGTAACTTTGTCAAGGATTTGGAAAAAATGTATTGAGTTCCTTCCTTCTTGAAATATTCAAATGCCCTTCAGATACCAAAATACATTTTAATCAATAAAATAATTATGACAATAAAAATGCAGAAAGTCCTTGTGGTATATTGGTATATTGGCTTGAGTTTTGGACTGGTATTTGAGAGATCAGTGTTCTCCCTGAGTTATAACATTCCCTGAGGTTACTTGACCCAATCACTTTCTCTCTGTGTGATCTACCTCACAAGTTGTTGCAAGGATAACAAGATCTGAGTATGCTATTGTGAATTCATTGATTTCAATTTTATTTCCTATGCAGGAAACCCGATTTCTGCATAGCAGAACAAGGCTTGTTGCATGTTCTACACACTTCCTCATCCTCTCCAAATTGTCCAAAATTCTCAGTGGTCTATTATTCTTTCTGGTTTTTGTCCTGGGAATGAATAAGTATAAATATTCTTTGCATTCCTAGTATAAATGTAACTAGCAATAAAAAAACAGAGTTGCCTGATCTACAGTTGATTTGCAGAAAACAGTAGGTGAAGGTATTCTTTAGCACTGAAATAATATATATCATGTATTAATGCCTGAAAATGAAAATATAAGGTGGGTGGCCTGGATTTGCCAGTCTTTCTAATCAATTAAGACCTAAATTTGATTGTTAATAGCAACTGGAACAGTCATGTTAAATTGATGGATGCCAATAGCCTATATTATATATTTAGTTGCAAATATGTACATGAGTACCATCTTCTGGCCTAAGTACCAAACCCACCTTAATAGCTAGCAGTAGTTTGAAGGAAAGTCTGCTCAACTTTCTTTGCTTAACCTGGCTCCTGACTTTTGAGGTAGGTTTGAGGATATTTACAACTGTGGAGATGGGGCTATGAATATAAGCATGTAGCTGTTACTCAGTATGGAGCAGTTACAAATCTGTACATGCAATACAGATTCTGAGGCAGTATTTATAGAAATGTTGATTTACTATCAGTTCCTGTTGACTTAATCCATCTGCTCTATTTGGGATTAGCAGCTGGATCTAGGTGAATGGTTTTGAGCAAACAAGCAAAAATATCTGTATGTCTTCCAAAAGCAAAGCACACAGATCTAATCTTCAGCACAGAGTGAACCATCTGCCCCCGTCCTCCACACACATGTGAAGGAAAGAAAGATTGTTTGTTAAAAGAGTGATAGTCATCCCTACAACTGCTTGGCACGGCTTCTATTTATGTGTGTATATATAGCTTTAATTACCACTCTCTGTCCACATTCCTTCCCAGACAGTAGTGTTGTTTACCTTGTTGTAAACAAATAAAATCCTACATTTGAAAATTACCCTGCTAGTGTTCTATTAATTTGGAGGATAAATAACTCAAAGGAATTCATCAGTAACTTCAGAGTGCTGCACTGCCAATAAAAACACCACGTTACTTATTTATTAAAACTGTAAATGGAAAAGAGATGAGATACACATTTTGTACGGCATCTCAGAAGAAAATAATTGGCTCATTAATCACAAGATCAGCTCGGCCATTCTTGGAAGGTCAAATTTAAGACTCCATCTAGGGGCAGACGTCTTTGAAAAATGTATATATGTGGATGGAAGATGGTGCATGGAATCTGGAAAAAAAACTTTTTAATTGTTTTCTTAGCTTACATAGACTAAAGGTTAGGAGGAAATTTATATTGTTCCCTCCCCCCCCCCCCTCCTAACATATTTTTTCTTTACCAGTGAACTTTGTTAAAAAATAATGTTAACACAGAAACAAAATATTTTCAGTTTTAGGCTTTGGCAAAGTATATGCTTACTAAGTTTACTTTCCAAAAGATTATATATTTCTTCTTTAACTGCTCTGTGAACACTAGCATTCCATTTGGGAAAAAATAATACTTAATATCTGATCTCAGTGTCATCTTCTCAATGTCCATTATCTCCTCTCTGTTTCTCTTCTCTACAGGTTCTTTTAGCACACTGAATTTCAGTTCTTGGATCAGACCCTGAAGATATGCATTTATTCTACCTCATTACCTTTCCTATTGAAGCACCCTACATTTCATTTTCTTCCATATCTGCACTCTGGAGCCTGGGGACTCCTATAGTCTAGCCAATTTCTGCCAGCAGAGTACACCAAGTCCTGCCTTCAGGCTATGTCTGGATATTTCCCCAATCATATTTACTTTTTACTACCTGCACAAAAACTCAATGTTTTGTCAACAGTCTCTTGCAGTTCTTTTCAGTGAAAAAGCCAAGGAATATTCCATAAAATTGCAGAGTGTTGGCCAATGGCTAACTATTGGATGTCCTTTTAAAAGGTCAAGACCAGGCTTTATTTTTTATTTTATTTTTTTTTAACATCACTGCGGAAAGATGGTTCTATTTGCACAAAAGAGAAGTGGAGACAGTATCTCAGCCCTTTTGAGCCGTCGGGTTTGGAGGAGGTGGGACCTGCACCGAGTCCAAAGCTCCAGGTTCTTCATGCAGCTGTTCGGGGCCGGTGCGGTACCGCTGGGAGAATTCAGCATGCTTCTGGCGCAAGAGTTCCTGCTGCTTCTGGAGGCCCATGGACCTGGCTCGCTCTTTGTTCTCATTGTAGATCTGGGTAATGGCTCTATCCTTTTCGTCCATGAAATTGTTGTGTACTTCCTCCAGCTTCCTGAATCCTACATAATGAACGGTCAGGCTGCCCAACATGATGAGCAGGCAGTAGCCAAAGAGCCGCTGGTTTCGGCGGAACCTCTTCTTGGCCTCGGGCCTCGAGATTAGCTCCACAGGAGGCTGATGGAACTGCTGCCAATACCTCACGTTCTCATTGGGCTCTGGCCGGCTCCTGGTTCGAAAGTCTGCAAAATCAAATGGGCTTCCCTTGGAGCTTTGGCTGCTCGGGGGAGTCCAGGCCATCTGTGCACCTCGCATGTTGTCATACCGCCTCCAATGGCGGCTGCGACCCGCGCGCCGACTAACCCGCGTCCTCCTCCAAAGAGATAGAGGTGCTCCTCGGAAGTTGTTCAGAAATGATTTCAGCTGTTCCTTATTTTATCTGCCGTTACTGCCAGCAATGTCAGAGCACCAGACACAGGCACCGGGCATTTTCGACCACGCTCTGCAATTGGTTGCCAGCCAAAAACAGCAGCTATTATGACTTGTTGGGGATCAAGCCAGAGGCTTCCTTGGAGGAGATCAAGCAAGCTTTCTTCAGCAAGTCAAAAAAGCTCCACCCTGACAGCGACCCAGGCAACCCTGACCTGCACAGCCAGTTTGTGAAGCTGAATGAGGCCTAACGGGTGCTGAGTAAAGACCAGGCTTTATTTTTCTGCAGGAGATCAACCGGGTAGGGAGTCATAGCGATAGTCATTTGGATTGGGTAGAGCATTATATAAAAGGATCTGGAAGTGCTAAAACAAGTGGGGTTGCAGTGTTGATTTCACAAAATGTGGGTTTTAAGATTGATTCAATTGATAAAGATGATGAAGGGTGAATCTTGATTATTAAGGGTACAGTAAATAATGGGGATTATGTACTAGTGAATATCTATGCCCCAAATTGTGGCCAAAGGGATTTCTTTAGAGGTGTTGACGAAAGGATGAGAAAAGTACAAACAAACAATATGATAGTGGCAGGAGATTTTAATGCAACATTTAACCAGGAACTGGATTCATTATCACAAAAGAGAGGGGATTTACAAGCGAGGCGTGCTTTTGTTCAGTTGATTAACAATTATAACTTAAAGGATGTACTGAGAATAATGAAAGGGAATGAAAAGGTATATACATATTATTCAGCAGTGCGCAAGGTGTTCACTAGAATTGATTATATATTCATAACACCACCCCTAGTAAAATATGTTAAAGATATCTATGTAAATTTAAATTCTATAAGTGACCATCGAGATGTGAATATGATATTAGATTACCAAACAGACTATGAGCCTCTAAAAAGAATGTGGATGGATATAAAGATTATTAACAACAAATCTATAAGGGAAAATATTTTAAGAGAATGGGCAGAAATTTGGGAGTTGAATGCAAGGGAACCCCCTTCATATGAGGTGCTCTGGGATGCAATGAAAGCAGTTTTAAGAGGACTGTTTAGTAAATATTCAGCCATACTGAAGAAACAGGAAAGGCAACGAGAGAACCAACTGATAGGAGAAATTAAAAAACTGGAATCAATGTACTTGTTAACAAAGGATCTGAAGATTATAAATAATATTACAAGACTAAAGAAAGAGTTGGAGGCTAAAGATATAGAAAAAGTAAAAAAAGATATGATGTATACAAACAGATACTTTTTTTGAATGTAATAATAAAAGCTCAAAACTGCTGGCAAAAATAGCACAGACTAAAAAAGTAAGAAGGGAGATTGGATGTATCAAGGATAGTAATGGCATTGTATGTGCCAGAATGGTAGATAAAATAAAAGTGATACAGGATTTCTACTCTAATATGTACAGAGATACAGAAGTGGATGCAGTTGAGTTGGATAAATAACTGGAACAAAATTTAGGTAAGAAACTATTGGATGTCAAACAATGAACACAGGAAAGGCCGGTAGGAAACACAAAACATTGCCCAAAAGTAGTCATTGAGGCAGGGGGTGGATAACCAACAAATTGCAGACACAGAGGAACAAAGATGAATGTATAAAAATACTGAACAAGGAGGAGAAGGATATTGATCTTCTCTTTTCTGGCGTATCCTGGAAGAACAATACAGGCTTGCTTTCATCACCAGCATATGTAAAAGCACGAAATATTCAAAGGAAGCAAGAAAGGAAGGAAGGAGAAAGGGGGCGGGGAGGCATCACATTGAATATGAGTGAGTGAAATTGAATGCTGAAATTAATGAACTTTTTTAAAGAAAATGAATCAAGTAATTATTTTTTCTTGAACATGTCAAAGTGTTGTGAAAATTATATTAGCCAGGACTGTTGAATGTTATCCAAGCCCCAGTTCTCATAAGCCCTAGCTAGCATGGCCAATAGTGAGGCATGATCAGGCTGTTTATCTTCAATGCTATTTAGCTACAAAACTAAGATAGTTATGTAACCAAGCACATTTAGACTTCCAGCCAATGGTAGTAGGCATTTTGATGAAATATTTTGGTAATGATGATACAGGGATTGTTAAGGTTATAGCAAGACAACAAGAACACCTATAGCAAGACAACAATAACACCTGTAATGATGATACAGGGATTGTTAAGGTTATAGCAAGACAACAATAATACCTATATCTGAATTAAACACTTCCCATAGGATTGCTCCTTTTCACCTTACCCTCTGCACTGTAATTATTCTTCTGCTGTGGTTGACCTCTCAAGGAACAGAAGACCAAAAATTGAATTTGTGTGCCATGTGTGCATTTTAGAGGCCATATAACACAAATTTTTCAAGAACTGTACTGGCTTCAAATTTACTTCCAAGATCAATTCAAGGTGCTGGTGCTGAGTAATAAAGCTACAAATGAATGGAGGCCAGGGTATCTAAAAAGCTGCCTCCTCTCAATATGAACCTGTCAGAAATTTGAGATCTTCAAAGGAGGCCCTGCTGCATGTCCCAGCATCTCATGAAGTTGGTTGGTAAGTACATATAAAATGGCTTTTTATGTAACAATACCTTGAATGTAGCATTCTCTACCCAAGGAAATTAAATTGGCCTTACCTCATTTAAGCTTTCACAGGGAGCCAAAACAGTGCAGTTCCACATGGCATTCAGTGTTTGGAAATTGTGGTTTTAACCATTCTAAAATGAGATTCTATTATTGTTTTCAGACTGCTTTTAAGAGTTTTAAAATAATACATTAATGCATTTTAGGAGGGTTTTTCAATCTCTTTATTATTCTAGTTGGTTTTAATTTGTTCAATTTTTTGGGTTGCAAGATGATACCTATGAAATGGCAGCCTCAGGGCACACTGCCATGACTTTTCCACAGTTTCCCAGGTATAGAAGACTCTGTATAGCATTCTTTTTCCTTCCATTTTTCTCAAATTTGTGTCCTCAAATGATAACGTTGCTGTAAAATTGTATATAATATGTCCAGTTTTGAACATAATATTTTCGAATGGAAACTTCTTCCCTTTCTCCTTTTTCATATAATTTTTATTGCAAAGATATGGGGAATGGGGAAGGGTACAAGAGTGGATGTAGAGTAGGGGCATTTTAAACATCTTGCATTATCTTCTTCTTCCATGTTTATCTAATACAAAAAGGTTTTCTATGATGTGAAAAAAAGAAAAAAGAAAAAATCTTTTCTAATTTAAAACAGAAGGATAGGAAAGTAGGTGAACAGTGTATTGGAACAAAGCAGATAGAAAAGTTAAGAAATGGAAAATAGAAAGCCCTAACTAACACTTCCTATCCTGTCTCTGCTATCTTCTTCATAAGCAAAAAATAAATCCTTCTTGTCATAAATCTTCTTATTTCTGGTAGAGTAGTTTTCCAGGATCCCTTGGATACCATTATAGATCCTGTTATTCTTGTCACTAGCTTCTCTAATTTTTTTGTTATTTCTGCATCCCTGTAATACTAATTTTGTAAAAAAAAACCCCCAACATTTTCATTTTCTTTTCTTCTTTTAAATAGTCGATAAAAGGCTGTCATTCTTCAAATTAGGAAGGATCTGAAGATTGTCTAAGCCTTGTATATTTTTGTCCATCTCTGCCATATTCAACATTTTTGTAATTCATAAATCTTAGGTGGGAATTTCTTCGTGTTCCAAATAGTAAGCACAAACAAACCTTGCTGCAGTTACCATGTATAAAAAGAATGTCAGATTTTTTTTAGTGTTGAGTTTGTAAGTTTCAACAGAAAGGCTTCTGGCTCTAGTGGTACTTTAATTTTAAGGTGTTTTCAATGTACTTATAAATCATAATCCAGATTATTTATTTATTTATTTTTGCTTTAGGATATGTCCACCACATAGAGTAAAAAGTTCTGTCTTTTTTGTTACATTTTCAACAAACTTTTTTTATATTCCATTTTTGCCAATCTTTTCAGTATCATGTACTATCTACATATCATATTGTAGAAACTTTCTCTTACTCCATGACATTTTCTTAATTTAATCTTTGTTTCCCACATATGTTCCCATTTCTCTAGGTGGATAATTTGACCCACATTCTTTGACCATTGAATTATACAGTCTTAGATGTATTTGAATGGTAATTAAATGTACCTCTGTATCATGCCATGAGGAAAAGCAGGTAAGAGCTAAAATATTGTTGTTGTTATTATTGTTGTTGTTTAATAATATTGTATAGACTTTTGCTATTTGTTTTTTCTTAGACTGGAAAAATATTATCTATTTCAATACAATTCAAATTGCCTATCTTATCCATTTGGTATCTTTCTTGTGGTTGTCTATATTGGAACCATGATAATTGCTTGCCCTCTTGGTGTAGTTTGCTTGGATTTCCCCCTTTCTTCTTGATTATTTTTCAGTTGTTATTTTAGCTACTTTAAAACCTTTAGTTATTTATCATTATTACTAGTAGTGTTGCTACTACTACTATTACTGGATTTTTAAAGAATATACCAATTTCCACTACTTGCCACTGATCCTTACCCGGCACTGTTGTGTGTGTGTGTGTGTGTGTGTGTGTGTGCCTTTGTTGCCTTTTCTTTTGCTGACCCCATTAATTTCATGTGGTTTTCTTAGGCAAAGAATATTCAGATATTTTTTTCCTCTCTATTACATAATTGTGTAATAATCTTTCCTCATACATGGGGATGGTGGGAATTGTAGTCCAACACATGCAAGACATGCCAGTTCAAGACAACTAATTAAGAGGATAGATAGAAGTTTTCATTATAATTTATTGTTTTTGCTCCCTCTAATGTATTGAAACAATTTTCTCATCCTGATGTGCAGAAGCAATCAGTGCAGGCTGCTGAAGCACAAAAACATTGACAATTCCCTTTTGTCTGTCA